ATGGGGTGCAGGGGGTCTCCATGCCCAGGGGATGGGGTGCAGGGGGTGTGGGTGCCCAGAGCACCAATACCCCCAAGGGAGGTGCACCCATCTCCCCTGGGGAAAGGAGCTGCTCCCTCCACAGCCCCACCAGGGACACCCCAAACCCTTTTCCTGGCCGGGGGCTCCCCAGCACCCCCTCCCCACCCCCTGCAGCACAGGGGGCACAGATCCCCCGACCTGCTGCTCCCGGGGCTTTATTTCCTGGGCTCCTACGGAAGCAAGGAGTGAATCTGGGTCATGGCAGGAGAGATTGTCCCCAAAAAACAGCCTGGGGCTGGGGCGGCTCCCTGGAGCGTGACAGGCACTGGGGGGAGTGACGTGTTTTTCTTGCTGCTGCAGGCAAGAAAAAAAGGGGTGAAACATCATGTTTTGGGGGGGAGGGGGGGACAACCAGCCCCAAAGTCACCGTTTCTGGGAAAAAACAGGTTAAAATACTAAATGCTCCCAGGGCTGCGGGGGTGGGATGGTCTCTGTCCCCTCTGGGCTGAGGTGGGTTTTCCTGCTCTCCCCGGAGCCCTGGTGCACCCCATTTCACATAAACCCAAAAATCTGAGGGTTTAGTGCTGGAAGTGGATCCCAGGCCTGTCCAGGGTCACCAGGAACCCGCCTGGGGGGTGGAATCTGTGGGTGACATCGGTGACAAGTGGCTCCAGGGAGGCTGGGGTGACCCCTCCGAGGGGAAGGGAGGGGTCTGGGGGGTTTTTGGAGGACGGAGACACGTCGCTGCCACGCCCGACGTGCCCCATCCCGGCAGGATCACATCCAGCATCACCGGGAGGTCCACGTGGTGATGGGCAACGAGGCCTGTGACCTGGACTCCACGGTCTCGGCGCTGGCCCTGGCCTATTTCCTGGCCCAGGTGGGTCCCTCCCGCTGGCTCGGGGACACGGTGGCCCGGGGGACGCCTCACGGGGTGTCACCCCCCACCACCACAGAGCTCCCCGGCTCCCAGAGCCGCCGTCGTGCCGGTGCTGAACATCCCCCGCGCCGACTTCGCGCTGCGGACGGAGACGACGTTCCTGCTGCGGGATCGGGGCGTCCCGGCCTCCTCCCTCATCTTTCGGGATGAGATCGACCTGGGGGGGCTGCACCACGCCGGGCTGCTCTCCCTGACGCTGGTGGATCACCACGTCCTGCCCGGGTGAGCCGGGGGTGGGGTGACACGGGGACACCCACCCGGAGCCTCGCGCTTTCCTCGCTTGGCACGGCACGGGTCGGATTTATCCCTCTGCGGGGTGTTTTTAGGGAAGGAGAGGAATACAGGGGGCTCCCGGGCTCTGCCGGGGGGTGACCCTCCCCGTGTTGCCCCGGCAGTGCCGACGCAGCCCTGGAGGAGGCCGTGGTGGAGGTGCTGGACCACCGGCCGCTGGAGCGGGAGCGCGGCCCGCCGTGCCGGGTGACGGTGGAGCCGGTGGGCTCCTGTGCCACGCTGGTGACCGAGCGCATCGCCCAGGGCCCCCCGGGGCTGCTGGACAGAACCACGGCCGCGCTGCTGCACGGTGAGGACGGGAGGGGCCCGGCCCGACCCCGGCTGAGGGGACGGTGCCAACGTGTCCCCCCCGCCCTGTGTCCCCCACAGGCACCATCCTCCTGGACTGCATCAACCTGAGCCCGGCCGCCGGCAAGGTGACGCCGCGGGACGTGGCGTGCGTGGCCCTGCTCGAGGAGAGGTTCCCCGAGCTGCCGCCCCGCGACAGCGTCTTCGGAGCCCTGCAGGCGGCCAAGTTTGACGTCTCAGGTGCGGTGACACCCCGGGGATCCCCCCCCCCAACCCTGACCCGTCTCCCCGGGGACGCCGGCGCGTGCCGGGGGCTCACGGCCGCCCCGTCCCCTCCCAGGGCTGACGACGGAGCAGATGCTGCGCAAGGACCTCAAGGTGATCTCCGGCGACGAGCTGGTCGTCGCCATCAGCGGCGTCTACGTGGACCTGGAGGTGAGGCTCGGTGGGGAGGGAACCGGGGCGGGGAGCGGCACCACGGCGGTGACACCAAAGAGCCTCTTCCCTCGTCTCCAGACGTTCCTGCTCCGGCCTGGCTTGCTGCAGGACCTGGACGCCTTCTGCCAGGCCCGTGGCTACGCGGGGCTGGTGGCCATGACCGTCTCCTTCAACGAGCGCCACGAGCCCACGCGCAAGCTGGCCGTGTACAGCCGGTGCGAGACCCTCCGCGGCACGGTGAGCTGGGGGGGGGGCCGGGCGCCCTCGGTTTGCCCCAAACCCTCCTGATTTTGGTGCTCCCCCGCAGCTGTGCCGGGCGCTGGAGGAGGCGACGACGCCGTCCCTGCACTTGCAGCCCCTGGCCAGCCCCTGGCCCTGCGTGGGCGCCTTCGCCCAGGGCAACGCCTTGGCCTCCAGGAAGAAGGTGCTGCCCATCCTGCGGGCAGCGCTGGGCGGCGCGGGGGGTCCCGAGGAGGAGGTGGTGCCCCCGCCCACCCCCATGAACAGCCTGGTGGAGGAGTGTCCCCTGGCCCAGGCCGTGCCCCCGCTGTGCCCCCAGGACGTCCTGGAGCGGGTCAGCCGCATCGCCACGGGGCAGCCCCCCGGCTCCCCCAAATAACGCCGGGCACCCCGCGGCTCCGGAGGGCTGGAGGACAAGTTGGGGGGCCCTGAGTGGGCCCTGGGGGGTACCCGGGCGTGGTGGGGGGGGTTGCAGCCACCTTGGTTAGAGCTCAGCTCCTGCTCCTCGGTGTGAGTTGTGCCCCCAGCGGGCTCCCCACGGGCCCCCAGGGTGGGTTTTTGGGGGCAGCAGTTGCACGCGCTTAATGAGGGCACTGGGGGGGGGGGGGGGGTTGGTTTTTAACGAGTTCTTGACGAGTTCTTGACGTTCTTCCCTCCCCTGGAGGGCTGTGAGGGGGCCCTGGATGCCGGGTCCGGACACGCAGCCAGCCCAGGATTGTCACCCACGTTTTCCAAGGATTAAATTCCCCTTTTCTTCCACTTTGGGCTCTTGGCTTTTATTCTGGGCCGGGTCTGGTGCTGCCCTGCTCATGCCAGGGGTGCCCCCCACCCGCTCCAGGGGGTGAAGCCCCTCTTTCCCTGGGCTGCAATCCCCCCCCTGCAAACACGAAGCAGGACTAGACAAGCCCAGCTCTGCCCGGAGCATCCCGGTGGAGCCCAGGGAAGGGGAAAGGCTCTGTCACCCAGCACAGGCTGTTTTAACATTTAATCCTAATTAAACGGCGCTAATTAAACTATGTACACCCGCGCCTGAATTCGGGAGCCTCCTGGGGTCGGGCCCTGTCCTGCCTCTGCAGGTGACAGTCCTGGGTGGAGGGGACCCCACCAGAGGCTGCTCAGGTGGGTTTTGGAGCTTAGAAAAAAGAACATATCCTAAAAAAAGGGGGGAGTTTGGCAGTGGTGGGAATGCCGGGGGGAGGCACTGCGGGCTCGGTGATGGTGAGGCACCGGAGCGTCGGGGTTTGATCCTGGTTTGGCACCAAAGCATCGGGGTTTAATCCTGGTTTTGCTCCAAAGCACTGGGGTTCAGTCCCTGCTCTGCACTGAAGCACCGGGGTTTGATCCCCGTTTTACGCCATATCCTGGTTTTGCACCAGAACATCTCGGGTTTGACCCCGGTTTGGCACCAGAACGTCGCGGGTTAATCCCGGTTTTGCTCCTCTGTGCCATTCCAGGAGGCACCAAAGCCGCCTCCATACCCATTCCCTGGGGAAACTGAGGCACCCAGCAGCCCCCAGGACACGCTGGAGTGGACAGAGGGAATCCCGGGGAGGTTTGGCACGCGTGGGCTGCGCCTGGCAGCTCCTGGCACGGTCCTTTCCAGGGGGGGCAGGAGGAGGGGGCTGCTGTCCTCGCCCCCTCCCCGTGTCACCGGCCCGATGCCCCCGGGAAGGAGGGATTTTCCAGGGGGATGACAGCCAGGAGTCAGCGGGAGCTGGGCGAGGCTGGTGCTGCATAAATACCGCGAGTGCTCCAGGGCGGCCTCTCCTCCGGCGGGGAGGGGGGGGCAGTTCAAGTTTGGGCTGAAAACGCCAGGAATCTGTGAAATCCCAGGGGTCGGGTTACGGGAGCGCAGCAGAGGAGGCTCCTTTGGGTGCCACTCGGTGCTGGTGCCTCCGAGGGGGCAGTGGGGGCCGGGGGGGCCGTGGACTCACACGCTACAACACCCGGGAGTTGCTCCACTGTCGCTCCCGGCCGCCCTTGGATCGCATCTCCTGCACGGCTCCGGTCTGCAGGGAGGGCCTGTCACCCGCTGTGCCACCCTGTCACCCACCCAGGACACACAGCACCCCGCAAGGGACACCCAGGACCCAACCGGGACACCCAGTACCCAACCAGGACACCCAGCTCCTGAAAGGGACACCCAGCACCTTGAAAGGGACACTCAGTACCCAATCAGGACACCCAGTACCCAACCAGGACACCCAGCACCCTGAAAGGGACACTCACCACCCACCTGGGACACCCAGCACCCACCCAGGACACCCAGCACCCCGCAAGGGACACCCAGGACCCAACCAGGACACCCAGTACCCAACCAGGACACTCAGCACCCACCCAGGACACCCAGCACCCTGAAAGGCACACCCAGTACCCAACTAGGACACCCAGCTCCCAAAAGGGACACCCACCCAGGACACCCAGCACCCCACAAGGGACACCCTGTACCCACCCAGGACACCCAACACCCCACAAGAGACACCCTGTACCCACCCAGGACACCCAGCACCCTACAAGGGACACCCTGTACCCACCCAGGACACCCAGCACCCCACAAGGGACACCCTGTACCCACCCAGGACACCCAGCACCCACCCAGGACACCCTGTACCCAACCAGGGACACCCAGGACCCAACCAGGACACCCAGCTCCCAAAAGGGACACCCAGCACCCAACCAGGACACTCAGCACCCACCCAGGACACCCTGTACCCAACCAGGACACCCAGTATCCACCCAGGACACCCAGCACCCCACAAGGGACACCCAGGACCCAACTAGGACACCCAGCTCCCAAAAGGGACACCCACCCAGGACACCCAACACCCCACAAGGGACACCCTGTACCCACCCAGGACACCCAGCACCCTGAAAGGGACACTCACCACCCACCTGGGACACCCAGCACCCACCCAGGACACCCAGCACCCCACAAGGGACACCCTGTACCCACCCTGGACACTCAGCACCCACCCAGGACACCCTGTACTCACCCAGGACAGCCAGTACCCACCCAGGACACCCAACACCCCACAAGGGACACCCTGTACCCACCCAGGACACCCTGTACCCACCCAGGACACCCAGCACCCCGCAAGAGACACCCACCACCCAACTGTGAGACCCATCACCCCCAAAAGCAAGACCCACCACCCAACCATGAGACCTGTCACCCCAACACCGACGCCCACCGCCCGACTACGAGACCCATCACCCCCAAAAGCAACACCCACCCCCCATCCCTGACCCCCCCCCCGGGGGTACCATGGGCAGCCCCTCTCCCGCAGCCATGTCCCCGGAGCCGATGTGTGTCAGGTGCACGAAGTTCATGGGCTCCCCGATCATGGAGCGGTCGATCCTCCTCCTCCTCTTCTTCTGGGGGGGTTGATGAAGGCCGTGAGCCCCCCGCCGACCCCCCCAGAGCCCTCCCCAAGCCCCCCCGGTGCCCGTGGTACTCACGGGCTGGGGCTTCTCCACGACGCAGCAGCCCAGCTTGTGCCAGAAGTCGCTCATGCTGGTGGTGGGAGCCAGGGTCCCCCTGGCACCGAGAGACCCCCGCGGGGTCACTCCATGGGGACGCCTCGGGGCACCCGCCGGGGCTGGCACGGCGCGGGCAGGAGCGGCCGGCGGGCACTGGGGAGGGAGGGGGGATGTCTGCGGCCCTGACCGCTCTGAATCGATGCCAAACCGACCTCCCAGCCACCAGAGAGAGATGGAGACCCCCCCCGAGAGACCCCCTGGGATCACAGAGAGACTGGCAGGGGACCCCTGGGATCACACAGAGACCCCCAAGAAACCCCTGGTACTGCATGGAGACCCCCAGGAGAACCCTGGGATCACATAGAGACCCCCAGGAGAACCCTGGGATCACAGAGACCACCAGGAGAAC